AAAATAACAAATATATCACATAATGGGCCAGGGGGGTTCAAATTGAAAAAAGGGGTGCAAAAAGTAGGACTGACTCAGGCCCAGCCCAAGCCAGTCATCTTCAACCTCCAGACTTGTTTGAACAAACAACAATGCGCGTTTCCTAACTCCTGATTCCTGGACTTTCAAGCAAAACTCATAACACCAAAAATGGAGAGCATCAAGAGACGAATCCAGACATATAAAAAACTTGACTTAACTCTAAGAAACGAGGGAGAATTTCTTCATCCCCAATTCCTGACCTAAGTTTTTTCTAATGTTCAGGTTCCAAATTCTCTTAACACACACAATATGAATGAAAAGTAATGATATGGGTAGCTTCAGGGCCATGAGTAGGACATAACTTCTTCACAAACCTAAGCCTAAATATGCTTGGATAGAGAGATAGAAGTTCAAACTTTTACCTGTTCAGCTTGAATCGTGTACAACAATGGAGGCACTTTCAATGCAGTGTGAGGACTTGTACAGCTTGCTTGAAGTTCAGGGATGCTCTTCCAACCTCTAGCTTGCTTTGACACTAACTGAAACGAGCTATGTAACTCAACCTGCACAACTGAAAAAATGAAAATGGTGAACTTGGTTAGAGGTGTTACAGTCTGTAGCTAGGGCTTGGGATAGTTTGTATGGATGTTATGGAGTGTGCATGAACCAGCTTTGGCCAAAACGCACGAGCAAACTGAGTTGTGCAACTCAATCTGCAGGGATGCCCTGTTTTGTGCAGTAAAATGGTATTTTGATGTTTGGGGAGGTATTGAAGGTGGTTAGGTCGTGCCTTAGGTCTGTTAGGGAGTATGCAATGTGTGGAGAAAGTTTGTTTTAGTTGGTTCTTGCAGGAATGTGAGATGTGATCAGTTTTGCAAAGTTTCTTCCTCTATAAGCAAAGTTTGTCAAGTTGGGTTATAGGTCAAGGCAGGTCCCTCAAGCATGCTGCATAATCTCTCCTTGATCAGTGGGATTAGTTCATAAACTTGTGCCTCCAAGATCTGCTTGTACTTCCAAGATATGGACTTTGACATAAAGCATTGCTTTTTCAAAATGGCAAACTTGCTTTTTCCATATATGGATTGATTTTGTGTGTATTGTCCAAATGCACAAAATAACACTCTAACACAAAGGATATGCATTTAATTATTGAGTGTAAGAAGGATTAGAGGCCTGTAATCTAGCTTGTGCAAGCTGAATTTGAAAATGCATAGTGTATGAACATGACATTGGCTCATGAACAAAGTGACTTTTGCCCAACTTTGCCAATTCGATTCTCCCTAACCACAAGGGTGTTTGAGAAGTTCTTGGACAATTTAGAAAGCTTGGAATGTGTACTACAATCCATATTTATAATGCAAGTTGAAATTCCAAGTGGAAGCATATGAAAAGTGGCCATGAAGTTAGGCAAAAATCCTGCCTAAAATAGGTCAAAAAATTTCTAAGTTAAGAATGTTTTGCACCCTTGTTCCAAAAAGCATAACTTGAGCTACAAGCTTCTTTTGAGGAAACTTTGTGAATCAAAGTTGTAGATTTTGCAATGGACTATAACTTTCATGTTTTGATTTTTGTTTGAATCCAAATGTATCTTGATGAAAAGATGGGACAAAGTTAGGAAAAAAATTAGGAAATTTCATAACTTAGAAAATTTCTAAGTTATGAAATTTCTTCATTTCAAACCCTAATTTGTAATTTTTGATTTCTTAATGAACAAGTTTCATAATTTGACATGTCTTGATGAAAAATGAATCTTGGCACTTGATTTTGACCAAAAAGTCAAAGTTTGACTTTTCAGTATACAGTCAAATTTGGATCAGTTGACTGGAAAATTCATCTGTCAATCTTGTGCATTTGGGATCTTTTGAACTTGTTGAATGTGTCAAGACCATGTCATTGAGTCCTTGAGCCCATATGTGAGCTTGGTTTGCCATTGGCTAGGTCAAACAGTCAAAAATTGCCTTTGTGCAGTCAAAACCCTAAAAATGACCATTTTGCCCTTTTGGTGATCTGATCAAATTTCTTGTGGATTTGTGATCCAAACTTGATCAAATGGTCCATATGAGTTCATAATGTTGATGTGTGTCAAAAATCATGAGGTTTGACTATCAATTGACCACAGTTGACTTTTTCCCCAATACAGTTGATTTCTAGGTCAACTGTCCAATTGACTGGGCAAAGATTGGAATCAAGGCTTGAAACTTGGTATGAATAAACTTGTGAGTCCAACATGAAGCATGAAAGTCACTTTGGGCCTTTTAGTTCAAAACATCTTTGTGCAAACTCAAACCCTAATTTGGGTCAACAGTGCAAAGGGGAGTGTTGAGCAGAGCAAATCCTAACTTGTTCTTGAACTCCAAGGGTCTTGTGATGAGAAAATGTTTGAGGAAATGGGAGGGCAAATTTTGGGGTACAACAGCATCCCTGGCCCTTTTCATGGCATTGATTTCCTCACCTTTCATATAGGATTCTTCCCTCCGCATAATTTCTCCCATTGAGTATGAAGTTTTCAAAATGATGGGCTCATTGAAGTGATCAACTTTAAGTTTATTTTTGAAAGCTCCTACAAACATCTTTCGAATAGGGTTGATCACCATGATGGTGGCTTCATTGAATCTCACCCTGATTGTGGCTTCATTGTATGTAACTAGGTACTCTCGTAATGACTCAGAGTGTCCCTGGTGCACATTAAATAAATGATTCATTGATACCTTATGATATTTTCACGTTGAGAATTGGTGGATCAACTTCCTAAAAAGATCTTGGTAACTGGCCATAAAGAACACAGAGAGGTATATATACCAACGTAAAGATGCCTCCTGATATGTCCCATAATTAAGCTCAGCCTTCAAGGAGTATGATGCACCAATTATTTGTATCTATGTATTTATGGTAGTAATGTTTATGCAAATAGTTGTTTTTGTCGAAGTGCACCAACGAGGGTGGCTTAAAGTTTTCTAGGACTGATGCGTCTCAAATTGACAGGCCCGGTCCTAGGGATAGGCAAACAAGGAGATCCCCCAGGGCCTCGTTTTTTTAAAACACAATATTATTTTTATTTGCATAGTGTATATCTGACCACTAGTCGGTAATATCATATAGGGCTGTTTTACAATTTGGCGATCATGTGGTTGTTTTACAATTTGGCTAGTTACTACTTACTAGTTATGTATTTATATCATTACTTAATCAATATTATAATATAAAAAATAAAAGGAAAACCTAGAACAAAACAAATAATTAGAGATTTGAAAATCAAGAAAAAACTTTCTTTATATATGAGTTTTTAATGAGCACAACAAATGCTTAAAAAAATAAACTATTTTCCGAGTATTTTCTTGAATTCTCTTTAGAGAATTATGTTAATTTCTCCTCATTTGAGTTGAGAAATTTTCAAGTTTAATCTTTTGAATTCTCTTTGGAGAATTATTTGAATTTCTCTTTGTTAGAGAAATTATTATGAGTGGTCAAATGACCATTATTATATTCTCTTTGGAGAATTATTTGAGTTTCTCTTTGTTAGAGAAATTGTTATGAGTGGTCAAATGACCATTATTATATTCTCTTTGGAGAATTATTTGAGTTTCTTTTTGTTTGAGAAATTATTATGACTGGTCTTTGTACTAGATATTACGAGTGGTGTTGATACCATATTTGAATGGTCTTGTACCATCAGAGAGTGTATTTCTAGACCGATTATCTATCATGCAAATAGTAATCGTACAGTATAAAACTGGGCTGTTTTATCCTGGAGGCGGCGCGGTAGTTTGACTGCTTTGCATAATTTTGAGCAGTGCCGCGAAACGTCTTAAAGAGAGTGACCTAGTCCGCGACTCAACCTGGTAATTTCATCGATGACAAATATTTCAAAATCTGAAACCAACATACATAATATCATAGCATTTGATTATTTCTTCTTTCTAAGTGAAATCCGCGTAGCTCAATGAGAATATCAAACCGGTACCCATGCGAACGCACAGATATCATACTAGTTTATGAATGAACTTGGATACATTATTTAAATATAAATATAATTTTTATATTTCAGATGTTCGAACAAACTCAATCATTGTCATTTTATAGTGCTAAGAATTATAATATTATATGTTATGTTTTGTAAAAATTAATATATTATTGTGATCTAATAATAATTTTTGTATAATTGTAATTTGAATATCGAAAAACTGATACAAATTTAAACTTTAAATTAGGTCAAATTGAAAACAAAAAATGTTATCAAATAAACTAAATTCAACTGCATATAATTTTAATTTTGAAGTGAAAATTTTTTAATCTCAAAACTAATCTAAACTTCACATCATACAACCTTAATATAAATATTTTTAATAACTCAATTACAACAAAAAAAAAATTGACAATTTAATGAAGTGATAAAAGGTGATGCACTGAGTATTGGAAAGCATAAATTGTGGAACAAAGAAAAACTTAGCACTTGAAACCGTCAATCTTTCTTCCATAAATGGTGTGTATAACACATTAGAGATTATAATAACAAACTCAAAAGAGGGAGCAAATAGTAGGCTTTTACTGAGTATAGTTTTATTGGGCTTGGTTTAGTTTTCGTTAAACCAATTATCCAGTTAGTTTTGTTTTGTTTAAATAGTTATTGTAATTATGAGAACAATCCTAAAAACAATCCTAAAAAAAAAATATTGACAATTTAATGAAGTAATAAAAGGTGATCAGTATTGGAAAGCATAAATTGTGGAACAAAGAAAAGCTTAGGTCAACTTAAAACCGTCAATCTTTCTTTCATAACAATAGTGTGTATAAGAATTAAAATCTCACATTAGAGATTATAATAACAAATTCAGAAGAAGGTGCGAATAGTTAAATTGGGCTTTGCAACCTAGAAACAAGGCCCGCTCTTAGTTAGTTTAAATAGTTGTAATTATGAGAACAACCTTAAAAACACTGCTTTGCTTTATTAAACTCTTCTAACTCTCTTTCTACTGTCTGAGATGGCACTTTTCTCAACTAACCTCAAAGTTCTTGCCATTCATCATCACACCATTCTTCTTGATCAAATTCAGCAAATGTGTGACCACTGTAATTATCTACTAACCAAATGCACTTCACCTTTTTATGCTCTTCATCTTCTTGCGCAAAGAAATCATTATTTTGATATCATGTTGATTGATGTTGGAATTCCAAGCATGGATTCATTTGAGTTTCTTAGATATGTAACCCTACAACACAACATCCCTGTCATTGGTAAGTACTTTAACTCCACCGTAAAAATGTTCAAAATTCATGTCATTAATATTGTAACCCTAACATCACTATTCTTTATTTTTTGTAGTCATTTCTTCTGATGACACAATCAGTTCGGTAATAAAGTCTATACTTCACGGGGCTTGTGATTACTGGGTTCAACCTTTACATGAAAAACATTTCAAGACCATGTGGCAGCACGTTGCCAGAAAAACATTGTTTGAAAATAAAGAACCTGGAGTTCTTGGATTCTTGGATGCACAAAGTCATAAAGAACCTGAAGTTGTTGGATTGTTGAAAGCACAAAGCCCTAAAGAATCTGAAGTTGTTGATATCTTGGAGGCTCCTCAGCATGAAAGAAAATGTGAGAGAGAAGATGGTAATCCTCCAAAAGAAAAAAGTGCAAAAAAGAGTCGGTTATCATGGACACCACAATTGCATCAACAGTTTGTAAATGCTGTTAACCAACTTGGCATTGATGGTATGATTGATTCTTTTATATTTCTTACCTTTTCTTTCTTTGTATTAATTCCTCAACAACAACTCAACTTATGTGCATTGTTATATTCTTTATTTTCAGAGGCAAAACCAAGAAAGATTCTGAAAATAATCGATGTTTGTGGTTTAACAACAGCTCAGGTTGCAAGTCATTTGCAGAAGTATAGAGACTATTTCAAGAGAACACCTTGTGGAAAAAAGTCAAAGAGAAGTCCAAGAATTGACACTCCAACTGAGTGTATTAATATAACACCATCAGAAACTGAACATTCTAACTCAATCTTACATCAGGACCAAAGTTCTCAACTGAAGTCAACTACCCTTCAAAGTGATAATATCTCTGAAACACAACAACATTCAAATGATGTTATTAACTATCAAGTTTCTGACATTGGCTACATTTATGAAGCACAGCATCATGTTGGTGATAATCAAGTTTCCGACATCATAAACAACGATTTTCCTGGTGCATCTGACGTGCTCTTAGATTATGATGAGTTAATATCATTATTAGATTGAAGCATATGTATGAGATATAAAAGGTGGTGACTAATTCATATGAAGCCATAGAAGAAGGTCATGGATGGAAGACGTATTCATTTTATTGATAATGTAATTAACTATTCTAACAGTTTCAGTTTATTTAACTTTCCATTCACGAGTTAATCTTGGACTCTTAAATATGCAATGGTTTTTGTAATGTTAATTTGATGACTGAGTTGTTTATATAATGCTCTTTGATAAATAATTGAATTAAGATAATATTTTGATAGTATAATGAATTAGTCAAATTCCACTAGAATATTTTGTGAAGAATGACATAAACATGAGTCTGTATCATGACTCGTTAAACCTATATAAAAGAATTCTGATTTTATTTTTGAGAGAAAAAAATTCTATAAATAACTATTTTGGGCTTGCAATGCTAGCATGCATTCTGGTGTAATTACTAATATTCACTATTTTGAATTTATTTACTAATCTTCACTATTTTGAATTTTTGGTTACATTCTTGTTACTAAAATTAATATTATGTTTAATTATTACTTTTATTAGACACAACATCTATCCTTCTCAAATTTATATTTTGAAAGTCCATGAACAAATGATCGGTTAGGTTATATTTCTGATGAATTATGCTACATGACTTTTTAATTTTTTAAAGATCGGATTAATTCCATATTTGTTGGGTTTTTTAATGATATTATTTTGTTTTATTTTTTCTCAATAAATATAATAGTAAAGATCTTGTGATATGCAAAGTTAGAGGTCTTTTGGATTAGAGATATGTAAATATGAGATCTCTTTACTTAACTCTTTGGTCAAGTATAAATAGCTTAGTCCACTATTAGCGAACATCAGCTTTTATACGTATAAACTCGGCCGAACAAACAACTCTAATTATGCTATAGTTCAGTTTAATGGAGTTTAGCGGATGAGACACTCTTTTAATATACATAACGTATTTTATCAAAAAGACTTAGAATTTGTTGCATCACTTAGGATGCATGCTCCATTTTTGACGAGTAGTGTTGGGTGAGTCATTTCCAATCATGTCGAATGATGTGTCGAGTTTGGGATTAACGTGGCTAGATGCATTTGACGTAGTGGATGAAATGGGTCAGTGACATGCAACAATAAATATTATCAAAGTGGACCTGGATTATGACATAACAATTCGGAGTTTCTCAAACACAAAGTCTGAAAGGGAGAAGTAGTTGATACTGAAAATATGATAGTTTATATTCTCTCAACCATGAGACTTGTTAGGGAAAAGTTGTTTGAGGGTGAATATTAAAGGTGGTGTAACAAGGATACCATTTATGAGTCGAAGATAAGATTTGATCATGATTGTTTAAATAAATTGGATTATTTATTTCCAACGGACTTGTTTAAATGATTAAATGTGTTATAATTATATGAATAATAAAAAAATACCACAAAAAATATCAGTAAATCTTGATCATCCATCGATTTGCATATTCACTGTATAAAAAAAAGTTAATGTACACTCATTTAAATTTAACAAAAATGGATGTATATTCCTAGGGTGAGAAATATCTATGAATTTGTATCTTTTTTAATAGAAAATGGATATAAATACATTCTACGTTAAACTCTATTTTAATAAAAATCGGATGTAAATATGTTTTTAATTACATTTTATTTTAATAAAAATCAGGTGTAAATACATTCTTAGTTACACCATATTTTAATAAAAATCGAGTATAAATATATGCTAATTTACACCCTATTTTAATAAAAATTGAATATAAATATATTCTTAAATATAATTTACACTCTTTATGAATGAACAAATTATATTATATTTAATTCCATTTACACCATATTTCATATGCTACATTACATCATGTTTTAGTTATTACATTTCTTCATATTTCACGTACTAAAAAATCATAATATTCAACAAAATATTTCATGTACTAAAAAATCATACGTCAAAATCATATTTCATATACTAATATTTCATATATTAAGAAGTCATAATATTTTTTTTATTTACTTGTTTACTCTAGTAAGGTTTCATTGCCCCCAAAAAATTACACTACAGGGAGCAGGACCTGCTGGACCTGCTGTACTTCATAACAAAGTGAACCTATGACAATATTCCTATCATTATATCATCCTAAGAGTGCTTAGGGATGTCAATGGAGCGGGGCGGGACCGGGGGGACACTTCCCCATCTTTTTCCCCGCCATCAAATTCATTCCCCGTCCCCGTCCCCGATCTCCGTCACGGGGGAATTTCTATCTCCATCCCCGTTCCCCGCGGATCCCCGTTCCCCGCGGGGATCCCCATAGATCCTACATTTATTCATTAATATTTTATTTTTTTAAAATGTTTATATTTTCTATAAAAATAAAAAGCACAAAGAATTCACATATTTATTATGTTATTAAAAAATACTAGTATTTGACATTTCTCTCTCTTAATAAATACATGAATATTTATTTATTTATTTTTATAAATAAACATAAAGGAAATGACTAAAAAACCTAATCTAAAATATATATATTAAATTAACTATATTAAAATAATAGGCGGGGCGGGGTCCCCGCGGGGTGGGGGGTGTATTCCCCGTCCCCGTCCCTGAAATGCTCTCTGGGGAATTTTTCTCCCCATCCCCGCCCCCACGGGGGAAAATTCCCCATCTTTGGGGCCCCGAACGGGGCGTTCCCCGCGGGGATCCCCATTAACAGGTCCAAACTGACATCCCTAAGAGTGCTCACGTATATTTTCCCCTCGACAATCTACCTTTATTATCAGTACCCATGCTAGCCAACCAATCACATAATCCACACTAATTGGACAAGATATTATTGATAATACTCTCAACTTGTTTGCTTTCAGTGATAGGGACACCTTCAGTTGCCTACCAGATATTATCAACGCGCTTTTCACGAACACCACAAACCTAGTCAAATACAATAAAAGTCTAAATTTTTATCTTTGGTTAATTGTGGAACTGAAATTAAATTTGGCATAAAAGTTATGGACAAACAGAACCTCTTTAAGATGCAAAATCAGAAAGAGATAGTTAGGAATAAGATATAACAAATCCGGGTCGATAAAATGTACGTAATACAAGTTAAACATATTAGATAATTCATTTAAAATTTCAAAGCTTAAAGTAGGTCATTGTTGGATTAGGTAAAATATAACTATTGGCTATCAAAGAGTATAAATGTAAGAGTCTTGTGCACTCTTTCTCACAGTAAGGCCTATTAAGTTCATTCATGAGTCTTTCTCTAAACTCTGCAACTTTCCTTGCAATGACTTCATTATCCTACCAAAAAAAAAGTTCATCTTTTAAAATATAAAGCAACACAAAAATCCAACAAAACCTAAACATACCAAAAAAAAATATTGATTTCAATTACAAGCAGTCAATCAAAATCATTTACCGCGTGATGTTAATCTAATGATCACTAACATAAGATAAAGATAAAATACTGAAATATAAGAAAAAGGAACAAAATCATGAATTTAAATATCACAACAAGAAAATGCAATGAATATGGGTAACTTGAAGACGGCGAGACGGTTAGGGAATCCATAGAAAACAACACCCTCCTCAGGATGCTCTCCCATATAGGGTCTGCATCTAGGGCAGTGGCAGCTCCAACATCCACAGAAACTTCTCCCGGAGTTTGGGTACGTGCAGATCATTTTCCAAACTTAAGGTTGAATCTCCAAGTAAATGGATAAGGTTCGATGCATTATCCATGTAAGAAATGCAAATCCTGGATAAAGTGAGAGAATTACTTGGTTAGCATGACCCACAAATTACATGTATCACCATGCAGGAGAAAAATCAAACACAAAATGAAGTACAAAACAAGATAAGGAAAGGGAAAAACAGAGAATGGACGCTCTGTACAATATCAGATTGATAAGAGATACTCATGGGACAGATATAAACCCAATGCTAAGACCCGCTTTAAAGTTATACTAATAATTAGGGGAACTATATACTATAAAAGTAACTCTTCTGTGTTGATGTGAAGGTGATTATTCATTAATAATGGGATTCACAATCATTATGCACCTTTCAACATATTAGAAACAAAACACTTATGAATTTATATACAACATATACCTTTCACATCCATCTGAAATGACGGGTTCATACTCAGCAGGAAGAGTAAAGACAGTCCAAAATAGTGTTAGCTCACAAATATAAGTCATTGCTTTGACAGGTTGATTTCCAGATATCATTAGATAAATCTACTTACAAAGACATAAGCATAAGAACATAAATGGCTAAATTTTAAGTACAAACAGTGTGAGAAATTTTGTCATAAATCATGCATAAGTCTCAATAAAAGTTATCCATGGGGAAGAATTATCATGCACCTCTATCTCAATGCGCTCTCTGCTAATTTTAGCAGCTAGAGCATTTTTCACATCATCACAGACCGCAGCTTCTTTCAGATCTTCATCTAGAGTTAAATCAAAATCTAGCACCTAAATGTAATAAATTGTGTCTCTTCAATATAGCAGGAAAATAAGTTCAAACTTCGCGTAATTCTTCAATACAGAAGTCGTGAAAAATTAAAACTATATTACAATGGGGCGAGGGCGTCCTCCGAAGAACAAGGTGCCGCCGCCGCCGGTTTTGCAGCCTCCACCGGATCTAGAAATCTTGTTAGCAGCTGAACAACTTGCCCAGGAAGAACGAGCGGCCATGGAACAAGGAAAACAAGTGGAAACGGGATCTGTAGAAGCTTTGATCAACAATGGTTCGACCCTAGATGAACATGAGGCAGAACCAAGATCAAGACAACTGTAGACTAATGTTCTCAGCAACAATAGGAACCCTGAGAAGGGGCTGACAATGGAGTTTATCGCGCCTAAAGTGGTGAATGGTGAAATAGAAATTGAAATTGAAATGGAAGATGTCGAATCTGAGTTGAAGTTATGGGATTCGGCCCTTATCCTCTATGTGTTGGGGGGAGATTTGAGTATGAATGTAGTAAAGCAATTCATGATTAAAA